GGGGGGGGGGGGGGGGGGGGGGGACTCATAGTCGTGCATGCCGTAGTTGTTAGACCATTGACCTCGCATCCCTGCAAAGCCGGGACGGAGCACGCCGGGTTCTCACCGGACCAGGCTCTCACATCACCAAGCGCGAAGCGCCGTGAGATATTCGGCAAGTCGCACGAAGGGTGCGATTTATCCTGCTAGGTGCGTGTTGTGGTACATCATGTCTTCCTTGGCTCAGTATAGTAGCTGAAAATGGACGTGCAGCAGAGCAAAAAAAAGGCTTCCAGAACAGCACCAACAAGGGAGCACACAGCCTCGGCAGCACAGTAACCGAACCAAAAATAAGAGTGCCACCGTTGATGCGAGTGAACTTTTTGCGTGGTTTGCGTGTGCACCGGGGGCAAGGCGGGGCGATGCATACAAAAACTCCCCATGTTTTTCGTGTTCTAACCCGCCCGGTGGAGTGAGTCAAGTACTGCTCTACATACTGCTGTGTGGCATGACAACGAAAGCACAGGGGGAAAGCAGCAACAGAGCACACAGCGCAATATTGGCACACAAAAAAAAACATTCGGTCGTTGAGTGCAGTGAATATTATGGTTGTTTTTGTGTGTCGGAGGGCAGGCGAGACGGGCTACACAAAAAATAGCATGTTTTTTTCAGCCGTTGCCTCGCTTTATGTGCACGACCAGAGACTGGCCTTTGCCCCGGGGGGAAGTCCCGGCGTTGCGCTTGTCCTGGCCCTCCTCCGCCGACGTGGCTCGCAACAGTGACCGGCGTTCCTCCTCGCCCTCATCTTTCCAGCTGCAGAAGGCGTCGTCGGCGCCCACGACGTCGTGGAGAAAGTGCGCTACGCACCCGATCATCTCAACACGCAGCATGCACTGAAGGAGCCTCTCGTGAACTCCTGCAAACGGCAAGGAAGGCCGAACATAGAGCCAAAATCCGGGATGAGAACGCCGAGAGGATCCGAAACCAATCGGCAACACGGAACAACTCGGCTTGGGTCTTGGCACAAGCAGGTTTCGCGGACAAGCTGGGCAATGAAACATGGTATAAAGACACCCCACAGACAGCTCACATTTTTCCTTGAAAAGGGGGAGCATTAGAACCCTTGGGCCTGCGCCGAGTAGTGTTCCAAGTTAGTACAGCCTTGACGAACCTTCTCATGTTTCTCTCCATGCTGGGTTCGTAACAGGTTCAGCGAAGGCTAACCGGTGTGTACCGTAAACGTTTCTCACCTTCGCGGGTGAACTCCTTTGTCTTTTGTCCAGAAAGATGCTTGATCGGTGGGCATATCTCGGGGTCCGTGGAGATATCTCCGTATCCTAGGTGCTCAGTGCGGAGAGCAGCATCGGCGGAAGAAAAGCTGTACGTGTTGTGCCTCAGCTCTAACGTATCCCCGTTCTCCGTGGGGAGTACGGTGTCCTGTTCGGGCATCGTCACCTGGGTTTGCAAGTCGTGGGAGGGTAACATATCATCACGCATTGAAGGTGCTTACGGGGAGGGTAGGGCGTCATAGAAAACTTTCGGTACTCAATGGAGCATGCTCTTGCCACGATAGATACTTCTGAGAAAGTTCCCACCGAGAATATCAAAACAACAAACGGGAGAGTGTGCGGCGAATAACCTTGTCAGAACACCGTTTGATATGAAATCAGCTTTTGTCCAGAAAGTACGGATTGGCATTCTGTCCATTCGGTGCTGGTACGCTAAGGTGACATTCACATCTCCGGGGGTAGCTAGCAAAGCGCTACCACTTTTCAAAAGCGTGTACTTACTACTGTAGAGCAAACAAAATACGACAGAAGAACTACCCATTCAAAATAACTCGACAATTTGGATCTAAAGAACGTTTCTGGCCGCACACTCAAAAGTTCAACATCGGAGCGTCACAATGACCGACGACTTTTACCTCTAAGCAAGAGAGATACTCTTCCCCACACTCTCACATGCTGCACATGTACCAGAGGTTAAAGCCACTCACCACTTTGTACTGGCAGCAGAATGACATCGAAAAGACCCTTGTTACCACCTCATAGTGGTTTCCGCTGCGTCCTGGTGAGACGAACGAGTGCAAGTAACAACAGAGGAGGAAAAACATTACGACCGCGATAGTTATCCTTAATGTTCCAACACTAGGCTTCTTCAATGAACAAGGTCGGACCGCATGCACACATGACGATGCCTTCGCCATCACGTTCGATCAACCTCCCAACTAAGCCGCGACCTTTACCGCCGTAAGCATATGACCGTCACACACCGGTTGTCGGCATTTACGGCATGGTGGGCTCCCAACAACATACCAACGGGCTACTTAGGAAACAGCTCCGCTGCCCCACGTCTCGGAGGAACTGGCAGCGCAGAAATCGTCCCTTGCTTACCTATCGCGTCGAGAGAGCCCACGGACAAAATACCGCCCGGCAAGGACTCGTCCGCCTCCAAGGCAGCAGCCTCCTCCTTAGATATCGCTTGAGGACAGGCGTCGCTCTTCAGGATGGGTGGGCGTGGTGTGGTGTCGTAGGCATTGCATGCAAGCGCAAGAAAACAGCATGAAAAATGATTATGGATCGGTCTCCTCGGCTATATTGGTCTCAACAGGTTTATGCTTACAAAGTCTAAGGCGCCATCCACAAATGATGGTCATGGAATTCTTGTGGGAGGGGGGACGGTGATAAACCATCCCCGGGCAAGGTCTGATCGTCGTGTTGTATCCGACCGCCCCTAGAGGTTTGGAAACACTCGTTGCTAGTACTGGGTTTCAACGAAGTTTGCTGTCTCCTCTAGAGAACACTTTGAAACACCAGAAAGTGGGGATGGCAAGAACCCCCCCCCGCCCCATGTGGTGTTTTCCATCGGAGTTGGATTTTCGTCGCTTGGCAACGACGTTGTAAAACAAACCGATCACTCCGTGAGATGGACCACCAGGTCACCGCTTTATTTATTGCCTTTGGTATTGTTTTGCGTTAACCACAGTGGTGTTCGAGAAGATGATGTTGTGCGGGGTCGAGAACCCTCACTCCGCACAAGGGGATGATCGCACCACGTTGTGTAAAAAGTTGGTCGAGCACCCTTGGGGCAGTTACACATTGCTGATACTTGTCTCTGGAAGTGGAAGCGCCAGAAAATAAATTAGCCATTCGCAGCTGTCATCCGTACGCAAGGAATTAAGCACAAGATGCCGAACACCCTTAGCAGGATACAGCGCACCCTTCACTCGACCCGCCGAATACCTCACGGCGCTTCGCGCTTGGTGATGTGAGAGCCTGGTCAGGTGAGAACCCGGCGTGCTCCGTCCCGGCTTTGCAGGGATGCGAGGTCAACGGTCTAACACTACGGCATGCACGACTATGAGTACACCCCCCCCCCCCTCTGTTGGAATGAAAACTGAGCAAAGGGGACACGAGGGTTGAAAATTGCGAGGCCGTTGTGAGATTTTCAAAGTGATTGATGGTACCGAGTACCGAGTTACAGCTATCCCAAAATGCCAAAATGCTGAATGGAAAACCAGCATCCCCTCCCGTCACAACCTCCACAAGCCGGCTTTTGGCTGTAGGTCTCAGCGGGTGATTTTGGGGTGGGGATCATGAACTTGCATCAGAATAGCCCAGTTTGTATGTCTTTCAAGAAACAAGCCTGACAAAGTGACTACCGCAACGACCTAACTGGATGGGATACTTCCTGCCACGGCGAACCATAGTACAGTGCGATGCAAACATCCGTTCGTGTGTCGCGCGGCTGCCACATGTGTCGACGACAGGTACACGTAGAGCTCTCGCCATGTTGTCGTTCCCGCGCAGGAGGACCCCTCGGAGATCTTCCACATGGTGCTACAACGACAGCAGTACTACTGTACATAGATGTCGTAGGAGAGTGGAGTTGTGCTGTCACGGCATCTTCCACGCACTCTCCTACCGGTGCTTGCGTCGATTGGAGTCTTGTAGGCCGAAATACAAGCGTGGGTTGGGTTCCCGGGTTGTGGAAGCAAACCTGCCTGCAACAACAGAGAAGGTGGTGTTCTACAGATGTCCTACGGTATCCCGCTCAACTTTTTTTTTTTTTGCGACAACATGTGGTTGCATATTTCTTTGCCATTGCCGAAAAGACCGCTGGATCTTTACGCAGTCCACCTTTCGCATTTATCATTTTACACCGAACGACGCAGGACGGGTCGACCTTCATCATTGTTGTTGTTGTTGTTGTCTTCACATGAAAAAACGTTCCGATCTCTCTCTACCCAGTAACGTCATATGTCCGTACTTGTGGATTATTACCTGTTGGAAATTGTGGGAATCCCTTCATTCCGAGAGAGCCACAGGTCGGCATCCGGCCTTTTCTTTTTTTGTATGCACTTTTCTTATATGCACTTTTCTTCCTGTGAAGTTTTTACGTTGCGCTTGCCATCGTCGCTGAAGTGTTTGTGGCTTCAAACCTTCTCAGCCGGCCTTCAAACTTCTTGCTTGTTGATAAGTCTCCGTGGTAACTTCTCCGCGCATGAGTCATATGCAGTTAGTTATGACCTACGCTTTGACTTTCACGATGGGTATTTTACCTCTTTGTCTTGCATTGGTGAGTACCTGCGTTATACGGAAGGATCGTTCCACGACGCAAACGTCGACGTCTCCGTTTTTTTTTTGTTCCCTCCGCACTCCTTCCTTGCGGCGGTTTTCACACCGATTTCGAACGTGGGGTGCAATTTCCTCTCTTCGTACCTTCCTCGTCGGCCTTGTCCATCATTATGTACATAATGTATACCTCGATTTTTCGGCTTTTCGATTCCGATAGAGGCAAGACTACGGACTGACATTTCCCTTTCACCCCCGACGGGACCGCGCGCTCGTCGAGTGCCGAAATTCTTTCACCACTTCCTTGCCTCTCCCAACACCGTCCCTTCTTCCCGCCCCAACAAATCTTCTCCCCTTCTTCTTCTTCTTTCCTTCCTCCCGGACACTCACCACCATCCGTCCTGGATGTTGGCCCCCAGACCCATTGGGGGGCGGGGGGCCAATCCTTAACCCTAGTTCTTCTTTATTTACATTTAGACTTTGGACGTCCTTGTGCGTGATTGAAAGCGATGCTGATGAAACCGGTTTTCAACTACCTCTCCCCGAGTGGAAGGGAATCTGTGTGGTGTGGGTGAGGGAAACTCCAATCGTAACATCCGTCACACACACACGCACACCTGAAACACAAGTCCGCCACGCTCGACTGAGGCCCTCTTGACTCCCGATGGCTGCGCGCGGCCGAGTCCCTGTGCCGCCATAGAACACGAAGCGGGCATCGCGGGCAGCTGAGTTACACCACCACTTCTGTTACACGTTTGTCGGGGACATCTATACGAGGGATTGAACAATAGTTGCAGAACATTACCTTTCGGTACTTGTACCATCGGCGGAACAGCAGCGCAGATAGTCTAGACTAGACGTCGTGACCGACTAATTGTGGTAGGATACGAAAACCACCTGCATGCAATTCGAAGTATATCAATTCCAATGAGAGGTACAACCCATGTTTCGTTGTCTCAAAAAGGCCCACACCGGACGGGGCCCTCAGGTGCTACTGCTGTAAGCAAAATAATGTTCGTCCGCGTCCATCAGACGCGTGTTGTGGGGATAGTGATGATTGAGAATGACTGACGTCGTGGGGACCCGTCGTAGACAACGTTGTTGGAAAAAACGGAGGCACTCGAAACCTCACCAACGCCACCGAGAGTCCCACACCCAGCTTCAGCAAGGAGACACCCATTCCGAAAGCAGGCCCGCGATTTCGACGGCGACCCTTTGTAGGCCTCCTGTACACGCACGTGCGGATGAATTACCTGAAGGAGACAAAACGCAAACGGACGGCAGGGGCGGGTCAAAACGACACAGACAGACAGGCGGTTACCCAGTGTTCAATAATAGTTGAACGTCTGCTGTTCCGGGCCGTACCTCAACACAGCAGTAGGCACGGACTGCTGTGAATCACCGGGAAGGTTTTGTTCGTTCGGTAAACACGAAAATGAGTTGCAAGGTGCGACATGTTCCCCAAAAACAAAATTTCAAGTCTTTCAAGACATGTGCTAGTACGCCGTGTGAGCGCGTATCTGGCGTTTCAAGGGCAGGCTGCCAGCGCAGATGCGAGAACATGAGATCTGAACTCAAAACGCCCAATTGTGGAGGGTGGTAGGCTGAGAGGACACCAACGGCACGAACGATCAGAACGATCCACGAACAATCCATGTACCATGTGCACTCCGAGTACAGGTACATCGTAGTACTGCTGTGGAAGAATTTCGAAAAGCGTCGCCGCTCCATACCCAAGAGGGAAAAATGAACAAAAATACGGCCTGCCTTTGTGTTGGCTTCCACGAGCAGCAGGTGTCCGCGAATTTGTCACGGCTTCACCAATAGTAGAGCTGAAGCTGGTCAAGGTAAGGCACAGCAACGGCTTAACGGATTTGTCCAACGCATGATGTAATAGCACCTGGTCCAGTAGCGCATACTCCATATATATTCATCCGAGACGCAAAACCGTCACGTCCGAAACATGGGAGGCAAAGTAGGAAGCACAAGGCACCAACCTTTTGCGACCGCGGGCGTAGTGGCGGATGTATCCTCGGGGTTCGGCACTATCTGGCAGGAAAGAGAAGGCGGCCTGCCCGTGTACGTCTGCCAGAGCGAAGAGGAGATCGAGCGTGTCCGTTGAGGACGGACAGGTAGGTTTGATCGTTGGTCTCGTGTGTTGTGGGTGTGTAAATTGCCACCACCCAAAGCCGCCAAACAGAGGGAACCAAAACGAACACACCAGGAATTCTCAAGTCCTTCCGATTGCACACGAACATCTGCGCATGTCCTTCCCATCATGACATGGATTTTTAAATGTTGAGGGGGAGGCTCACACACATACGGAGGGGCGCGGATCACCCATGATTTCCCACAAAGAGGGGTCGAATGCCAGGTCTTCTATGTGCGCCCCGCGGGTCTTGTTTGATGGACCATAGCGAAAGCCTGGTGACGACAAGCCTGTTCTTCA